AAATGAGACTTGAATTCCAAAGATAGTAAAGAAATAAATATCAAAAGGTGACCTTAGGTCCATTTTGCCTAATATCAAATAGCCCTTTTTTCCCTAGAAATTTACTGTGCATTGTATACATTTAGAAAACATACTGATTTTATTATTCTTTTCATTGCTACATTATCCATAAGGCTGACGTCCATGAAATTAGTTTAAAGGCTGATTTTAGAGTGGTCAGCAACACAGTATAACTATTTCCTTAGAAAAGTGAATTAGTTTATATTGTTTGTATTTATGGAGATGAAATCTGACTTAAATAAATGCATGATTTTTGTTTCCTTTCAGAATATATCCATTGCTTACATCGGAATGTTGATTGGTGGAGATTACATATTCTCCATGTTAAACTTTGTAGGGCTAAATATTTGGTAAGTGAAACTTGAATAGCCTTTATTTATTGAGGCTGAATATTTCTCAGTGAGTTCTAGTTTTATATTTTGTTTGGTTGGACTCATTTGGTGATGCAGTTTTGAAACTACTGGCCTGACAAAGCACTGCCCCAGGATGTAAAGGTCATTACAGTTAGTTATGTCTTTTCATGTCTGTTTTCAGACATTAAATATTGCTGTGATAAGGCCTAATTGTGGAAATATGCCTGCAATTTTACTGTGTGGAATTATTTATTTTTTTATGAGCAGCAGTTCTGAGTTGTGAGGCTTCCAAGTAGAAGTCAGGTGGGAAGTGAGAACACTGACTGAATGAGTTGTGCCCATTGAATATAAGCTCTAACTTGTGAGTGGTTACTTTCTGTGCTTGGATGATGCCCTGTGTGTGTGAATCTGTGTGAGCAACTGGTAATTGATCTTTGTCTGCTCGGGGTTGCTTTCTCAGATGGGTTACATAGCTCTTAGGCATTCCTAGTTTATAATAACTAGTGTTCTTTAGCTCTTCAGACGGAAAGTTACGTACCTATGAAATGACATCTGTAACATCAGACATCTTTGACACCACTGTTCATTCTCTTTTGTTTAGCATGGCAGGAGGACTGAGATACTCATTTTTAACATTAAGAGGAAACAGCAAGCCTGCACAACCTGGGGATGAAGAGAATGCACTTACAGTGTCAAAGACTTAGACAAAATGCCTGCCTTGAAAGAGACTGAAGATACAAGTTTGTTTAGCATTGCCAACACCTTAAATAAGTATATGCTGGAACATATTTGGAACAACAACAAAAAAAATCTACCTCAGTTGTCACAGATGCACACAATTCACTGGCTCAGAAATATTCTTGCACACCATTTTTTTACATGCAAGCTAGTTTGATTTTAGCTTTTTCTTCTTAATCTGAAAGCCATTTTGTAGGAAGGAATGCTATGAGCCAATCTTAAGTTGTAAATTTCTGCATTTACCTGTACTTGGTGCTATTTCAACAAGATCTTTGAGCTTTGTTTCAGTGACTGCCTGTAGTCTCTTGAGGCAAAATTCCCTGTAAAGATCATGAGGCTTAATTCACCATTGCCTTATGCCATATGCAAACTTAGATATCACTGGGGAGATGAAAGATCCTAGTGGTTCAGATTGATTTTACACATGCATGTGCTCTTGGGTAAGTGATATATAAAGTATGGAGCAAAGAGGGTATTTGCCCCCAGATTGTTCCCTGTGTAAGTGTCAACTAAAAAATTCAGGCTATGTCCATGTATGTACATTGTGTAGGCATTCTCCCTCTGTGTTTTTCTCATCCTCAATCACACTATGGTGTTCTGCAGAAATTGTCACTGTTGTTGTAAATGAACCCTCATAGCTTTGCAGCAGATCAAGGAGAGTAGGGAAATGACAGGGGATATTTTAATATTTGAAGATTTTGTGTGTGTGTCTGTGAGCCAATACTGACAAATCTATTTTTGTTAAGGTACGTTTTTCTTTTTATATCACATTCCCCTCCTCTCATACAAATGTGGAAGACTGACTTGTGTTTAAATAAGGAGAAATGCTAGTGTCCTGTTGTGTCTTATATATACAGAAAAAGCTAATCTGGTACTCATTTATGCTTTCAGTTCTAAGCAAGGAATCATAATGAGCCTGGGGATGACTACAGTAGGCTCAGCTGGTACAGTGGTTAAGAGGCCCAGACTGATGGTCTGAGTGATCATCTGGGACAATAACACCCATATCTATATTTCAATAACACCTGTATCTGTATTTCCTTCTTTGATAATACTTGACAATGCTTACCTGTTTCTCTGAGGATAAACTGTTAACCTTTGAAAATGTGATAGGCACATTGAAATGCTGGAAGACAGCAGAGAAATTAATCTTGTTGAAGTTCTCAATTCCCTGTGAGCATGAGCCAAAATTTTTGAAAATAATCAAATCAAAAGAAGATTTGGAAAGACTTTGACATGGAACCAGGGTGGTCTAATGACTTGTTTGATCACTTCAATTAAAATACAGCTAATCTGAAAATACAGAAAATCAGAAAACATTACTCTGTGTGTAGCACATCAATGACCAGTCTGAATTAGATCTAAGAAACATGTGGGTAACACCACAAAATTCAGGGAGTGACTGCCTGCATGGATTTGAATGGCAAGAGGAGCAGTGACTGCAGATACTAGAAGTGGCATTTAAAAAGACATGGTCAAAGTGAAAAGAGAAATCTGAGCTATCAATTTTCTCGTAGCTGGCGAAGAATGTGACTTTCATTTTCTATCTGTTGAAGACCTGTGGAGGGAAAGCATTGCTGGAAATATTTTTCCGTGATCATCTGTTTTTAAAAATTTCCTTTATGCTTAAGAACCTTCAATATTTTTGAGTGTATTCTTTTATAAGGCTCCTCTTTCTGCATAACATCTCTACCTCCACAATTTCAATTACTGAACCTTAACTCTCTTCCATGAGACAAGGTGTTGGAAAGTTTTCATTTATTGTGAAATTAGTATGAGTGCCATTTGATTGCAAAGGCATCTGCTAAATAAGATGTAGTTCCCACAAAGGAACACTTAACATTTGCATATAATTAATTAATATTTTGCTCTGCCTTTTATAAATAAAATTATACAGATTACAGTTTTAACAGGTATTTTGTTTGGCTTACTTTTTTTTTTTGTCAATGGACACATTCAATTGTACCAAGCACATGAACAGCACTACCATTTGCTTTTTATATGATTAACTCTTCTAGTGTACTTCAAGTAGTTTCTTTAGCTCGTTCTGTACCATAGTGAAGTGATTTTAATTTCTTATTCATAGAATGTTTTTGAAGTGCTTCAGACTTAGATTTTTCACTTGAAATACAGACCTGATAATGATAGTCTTTATGACAATGTTACTCAGAATAATTTAAAAAATAAATCTAGGAATAACAAGAAATAGATACTATCTAGAAGTACTTGCAATTGCTTGTATACTTTCACAAAGAAATTCAGCTTCAGTCACTTTCTGTTATCCTCTATGTCTGAAATACTGTTGATTTCAGTAAATTTGCTGATTAAAATTCGGCAATATGGGCTCAACCAGACACAACTATCATGTTAGAATTTAGGAAATTGTATGGCTGTTTCACCCAGAACATCAATAATTGTGTCTTACTAAGATAGAAACTTAAAACTGATTTTTTAGGATACAGCTGCTTACTTTTCTACAGATTTCATATTAATGAACTTAAGGTTTTAAATATGGCATTCATACCATTACAGGTGCCAGGGTATATTTACAAGGAAACATACAAAGAAAAATCATTACTGGACCAGAAAAAAAAGTTGTCCTGTGCATTGATCTGTTCATGCTCTAAATTTTGTGGGGCTTTTTTTAGCACTGTAGTGAAGTGAGATTAATGAAGAAATGTGATCACCCAAGCGACTTCCTACCTATTCACTGTATAAATTTTTTGCAGTGATTCCTGTGGAAGTCAGAGAGGCAAAAAAGAACTTACCTCAGAAAAAACCACTTAGACTGAACAATTCTTCACATACTTAAGAATTTATTAATTTTCTTCTCATTATCTTGACCTAATTTACTTATATTGGGCCCATGACTCTGTAGACCTATCTGAGACACATTACCAACCACAGGAAAAGAAAATGGAAACATGGAAGTCCAGAATAGAAGACTGACAGCTGTGGAAGATTGTGTTTTGATTCCACCATTAAATAGAAGGAATTCTTTTAAATTTTGGGGGCATTAATTTAAAAGAGGTATTCAGCATTATTTTTTACATGTAAAAAATAGTGATACCTCTTCAAATTTAAAGTCTTCCTTGAACAGTGAGTGATTTTTTGGGTTATTCGTGATTGATTGTAAATACTTTGTAAATGTAATATTCAAACCTTTTTTATTTGTTTGGTCTGGCTTACTTATGAGGTTAGCCCTGAGAGGAAAATTAAGACCGCTTCAGTGTGAGGAAACTGGTTTGTTGTTAAGCTAAGACAGTAATGATTTTTTATCTTCTTGTTACAGATAAGCTAGTATTACCTTCCTTGTGATTCAAACATTATCTTGAAAAGCATCTGCACAATTATGGGTTTCTACCTGAAGGTGTCAGTAATGTAACATGATAAATCTTTTTTTCTGGTTCCAGTGTGACTTTGTCCTGAAAACATCTGGGCCACAATTTAACTCTTCACTGTAAGAAGTAGTGTTGATCTCTGTTTGGGGTATTCTTTTTTAAGGGTTTCGTTTAGATACATCTCTGGTCTCTATAAAAGGTAAACAATGGCAATAAAATTAGTTTTTTGGGTTTATGTAGTTTCCAGAAAAGAAGTGAAACCTTTCCCTGAGGCCAACATCAGAAATCATTGTTTAGTTTGGATTTTCTCAATAGTTTACAAAAGTGGGTGTAATGTAGTGATGTTATGCTAATCTATATCCTGGACATTTCCTGGAAAGTGAAATCATGTGACTTGATTCATCCTCTAAATTCTCTTCCAAGGCTCAGAGTCTAACAGTGGGCTGGAAGGAGGCATTTTCCATGTAGAGAGTGTCTTATTCATACAAGCTCACTACCTTCTTTCACCATGGAAGTGTTCCAGCATCAGCTACTCAGTCTTGTTGGGGCTCTGATCTGTTTCTGTACTCTGATAAAATGCATCAGATTCATGAGAGACTTTTCCATATGTCTGAAGTTCTTTGCCTTAGATTTTCTTTCAGTCAATGGGAGAATGGGCAGGTAAAGGAAATTGCTTCACTTTCTGCTTGTAATTGGGTGGTGGATTGTTACATAACTAATCAGGAATGGTTTTCCTTGTATTTTTTCTACCCTGTTCCTTCAGAATGAAACACAGTTTCTGATATGTATGGTTTGCTTGGTTCCTTTTTCTTTTCTCCTAAAGCTTTGAGTTTATGAACTTGAAGGTTTTGTGTACTTGGGGAGAATAGAAAACTGGTCAGACTGGTAACAGTTCACACCCTGGTGTGCAGCTGTGAATTCTTTCCCTGTTGCTACTTCTGCTGTTTTCTCTCTGCTGCAAATGCTTTTATTTTAGTCACATTGCCCAGATCCTCAGTTTTCTGGTCTGTGAAGCGGCTGGTTTATGTCTAGCATATGTGCTCCAATCTTCAAAGCATCTTTTCTTGTTCCTGCTGATGTCGTTCCAGTGTATTCTTTTCCAAATTGCTGACCTATCCTTAATGATACCATTAATAACTAAATTTACTTTAGTCTAAAATCTTCAAAAGCTGCAAGTTGGCAGTGTTTTCTAAGATAGTGTGCATTCTTGTAGAATAACACAGAGTTTAACAAGCATCTGCTTCTTCCTATTGATTATTCATGTGTTTCTTAAGCTCATTAGATGATAAGTATAAAGCAGGGATGAACAGCTCCTGAGTTCCTTGGCTGCCAGTGTTGCTGAAGGCAGCTTGTTGTTAAGAAATTACCTGAACAGTATACTTGTGTTTGATTCCTTCTTCCTGCATTAGAATTGATGGGACAAAATATACAAAATTATTAATATATAAAATACATCAATCAAATATATAATTAACTATTAAATATATGTTTAACTACCACATCTTCTAGTGGATTAATAAAATAAATCCATTCCTGTAGAAGACCTGCCTGAATACCACACACTTCTAAGGCAGTGCATAGGTCTCATTTTGACTTAAGTGAGGCAAAGACCTCCCTTCTGTGTATGAGATGAGGAACAGCATGTGGAACTTGCTGTGTAGAATCTTTCTTTTCACTTCAGGTTGGAAGACTTGTTTCTTTCAGTGAACCTTTATGCTATGTTTCTATAAACAAAGTCTTCTGGCCCCAGTAAAATTCATAAGGCTCAGATAATTTGTGTTATCATGTGGCACATGAGATTCTGAAAATCATGGAAATTAAATTTGGCATGTTGACCGCTCTGGCTGTTCGTCTCTGCACGGTCACGCGTAGGATGGCCTTGGGACAGCCCGCGCTTCAAAGGACGAGTCTGGACTCTTCAGATTTTCAGTTTTTGAATTGTCTATTATTTCTTGCCTACAAAATTTTCTTTCAGCCCGACAGAGGTCTGACCAGCAAGGCAGCCAAGGGCACTCTGCCCTCCCACTGGGCAGTCGTCTATTTTTATACTAAAGACTACATACATCATATTTACCTTTATTTCCCAATACCTTTCATCCATATTAGCAAGTGCACCTTCACCAAGGACCAATCCCAAAGTGCCAACATCACCACAGAAAATGGATGACAAGAAGAGGAAAGAAGAAGGACAAGACATGTCCTGATTCCTCCATCTTGTTTCCATAACTCCCCTGTACCAAAATCCCAAAATCTATATTTTCACCCTGTAAATACTTCATTCTTACACCATTCATTCCCAAGTGACTCTTTTGTCCTCAAACAGGTGGCACATCCCTTGCAGGGTCAAAGTCCAACCACCAGGTGCTTCTGGCAACATTCCAGGATTTCTGAGCCCCCCAAGGGTTGTCTCGGCAATTCTGGACATCCGAAGTGATGTCCTGAGTTCCCACAGCATGTGGAAGCTTGTTTCTCAACAGACTCTTCACTTTTCATCTACAGGTCTGTTAGGAAACTTAATACCCACCGCTCCTTTATTGGGATCTCATTTCCCTGTGAAATCAGAGAAATCAGAGAATAATTGTTCTTCTGTTGGCAACACCTAACCATTCAAAACCACTTTGCTTTCTGTGTCTCTGTCGACACAAAAGTCCTTAATCCACATTTTTTTTATATTGACTAGTTTTTCATTTGCTCTAAAACTTACCAGGTTTACCTTGGAACTGCTTTGGTTATTTCTTCTCTATTTCTAAGGTGTTAAGAATTTTTATTTTTATAGTTCCTCTTTTTATTTATATGCATAGTGTTTAAAGTTCAGGGTACTTTACAAATGCCAGGATTTGTTTATTTTCATAGTAAGACTAAATCCAAAAGTAAACAGAATAGTACAGCTCTGAAGAAAGATCATTTTATAGGTGGTGGCAAGTTTGATGTGATCTTTCCTTACAGACAGAAGTCTTGTGTGAGAAATTGTTGTATCAGTTTCAGGTGGTCTTTATCTCCTACCATTCTGCCACCAGCATATAAATTCAAAGCTTGCAAAACAGAACTTGTGAAAATACATACATGGAAGAAAATTCTGCCAGCTCTTCAGCAATTGACTTGTTGCTTATGGACATCACTGAAAATGAGAGTATTAGCTACCTCCTGTACCACATGGACTACCTTGGGGAGAGATTTGCTTTAATGACAAAAAGTGCTGAATGAACTAAGAGATGCATTGGAAAAATATTAGGAGACTGGTTCTATTCTTCAGTTGAGACACTTAGGTTGTATAATTCAGGAAATGCAGATGATGAAGATTGAACAATTCAGAAATTCAGAGATCCAAAAGTAATCTGTATCATTTTTTCTTTCTCCAGTCGTCACAGGAGCAGGAGATGGGATTGGAAAAGCATATTCCTTTGGGTAAAATAGATTGCCTACCTTTCGTTTTACCTTAACAAAATGGCAATTGCTATCCCTCCATCAGTGTCTTCAAATTAGTAAAATTATTCTAGAATTCAAAGTTACTGTGACAAACATGGTCCTAATCTTTCTCTCATGTATAACCAGAATAGCTTTAATCAGATTCTGAAAGGAAACCAGTGGTGCATTTCAGAGGAAGGTCATTTGCAGCTCAGTGGTCTCATCAAACCAGGGAACTAAAATGGGTGATTCAAAAGAGGGCCTATTGTCTGTCCAGAGAAGGAGGTCTCCTAAATTGTCCCTTTTCTCCCAGTTTCACAGCTAATCTGCAATGAGCTGGTCCAGTATTAACACACAAAATGTAATTTTGTAGCCTTGCAAACACATACTGAAAGTTTTATCTGAAATAACCAATAAGGGAGAAACTTGTATAAATTAATATAAACTACAAGTTATGGAAAGTATAAGTAATCCAAATGGTTTAATTTAGAATCAGGAGCTCTAGGAGGCTGCAGGAGGAAGAGGGTCTTTGTGCTGTCCCTGTAGCTGCTGCTGTGCAGAGTCACTGCAGCAGTACTTTGCATTAACCCATGATGGTCAGCGCTGAGGGCAGGCTGGCCTTGTATTGTGTTGTACCAGCCCTGCTATTATTGATTGTGACTGAGCAGTATATTTTCTCCTTGGTGTCTTCTTTCTAAAGTGCCTCCCTTTCTAGAAGCTAAACAGCAATGAATCAAGAGTTGCTGTCTTCAGGGCTGAGGTGACTGGGTGGCAAAGGACATCCTGTAACATGCAAGAGCTTAGATGCGATGCTTTTTGCTCATAGATTATAAAATGTATTTCACAGGAAAAGAAAAAATTTTGAATTGATTTAGAAGGTTTCTGCACTAGTATTTTCATTATGCATTGTTTAAACACCTAGACTGCCATTATGACTGCCATTGTTGGGAATGGCAATACAATAACTACTTTTGAAAGAGCATTGAATGTAGAACACTCAAAGACAAATAACAGGTATTAGAGACAAATACCAGGTATTAGAGTTTAATGTTTGGCATAGTTGTGAAAAAAACCCATGTGAGAGACGGGAAAATGCTATTTCCTGTCTACTCACTAAGTTACAGTATTAATTAGTAAATGGGATGGGTCTGATGAATATGTAGGTCAAGGGGAATGGGGTGGGATCAATACAGGGGGAGCAGGTATCAAACATTTTTATCATGTCTCTGGGTGAAGTCCTCTGTTTATGAAGCGGAACTAATTTTCTGTGTGATATTTTATCCATGCGAAGGCCGCAAGAACCTGTGAATGTCTAGATTGGAGCTTGTCATTGTTCTGCTTTGTTTGAGCTGTATGGGTTATGCAAGAATAAATCCCATTAAATGGCCAGCTATAACATGTGAATGGCTGCATTATGCCATAAGAAAAAGTAAACCCACTGCTGTCCTTTTTTTAAACTTGGCTAGAGCTGGATAGATTCTGTGGAACATTTGTTCATTATTTTTGGCATTTGTGGGATGACTGGAAGTCATCTTTCTCCATGCTGAGACGTACCATCCTCTCCAGGTGGTCCCTTTGGCTCAGCTACTGCTCGGTGGGATAGATCCCAAGCCCACACCACATGGACTCATAGTTTGGCGCATCACCTTGCTGGCTGAAGTAGAAGCACACACTTGTGTGTGGCTTGTAGATAAATAAAATCTGATCCTGCTGTTTTAATATTTGTGTGTCTTCAGAGGCTCTGGCTCAGCACTGCTGTCTTGCTGCTCTGATGTCAGGATGCAAAATTCTCTGATATTCTTCTGGTGTAAGTTCCTCTGGCATTATGTGCTGATGTGAAGGCAAGACTTGTATGATGGACACAGTCTTATAGAGTTTGAGTTCTGATGTCAAGTGATGAATTTCTTTCTGATGCCCTCAGCTCAGGCCTGGGACACAACTAATTTAAGGACTCCACACTTTGTAGCATATGCTACAGGATTCTTAGGAGAGCTGGTTTTGTGCTTTGGAAGGCTGGTGGAATGAGGTTTCCCGTGTTTAGTTTTATGTAGAGCTCCCAGTGAGTGGTTCATTGGATAAAACTCAGCAGGCAGAGGTCCAGAGACAGATTACAGTATCTACAGGTTCCATACTCCTATTTCCAGGGTTTATGCCTAGATACAGGACTCCACAAAGTCTCTTAAGCTCAAAAGCTGCGTGGGGCTGTATGAAGAACCTGGCAGCCGTGAGGTCTCAGAACACTACATTGTTGATGCCAGGACACAGACCTTTTGTTTCACAAGCTTGTTTGAGAGGCAAATGTGGAACTCAAGTTTATCCTCTTCTGAATGATTATCCAGGCTTCCCTGAAGGCTCTACAGGTATTTTGATTAGATCAGTTGTTTTGAATGACTGACCTTCTTGAAGATGAAGACCCTGACCTTTTAAAAGATTGCTGTGATGTCAGAGTACTGGAATTTTGGATCTAGTTTGCTGTATGTATTTGAAAAGCCAGGCTTCTGTTACACTTGGTCCATGAGTTCTGGGGCTGGTAGGGTTGAAACTCACCAGACTTCCAAGAAGAAAGAAAAGTAAGTCATCTGTGAGTCTGCTGCTAGTCTGCCACATCTCTACTCAAGGACTAGCATTTCAGGTACTGATGTAGTATTGTTTGTTCTGCTTTTGTGGTATAGTAACTACAGATGTGCTTTACCACCTGTTACTGACGTAGCACCTCAGACATACTGGGTTTATAGACAAGGCCATAGCATACTCTGAGATTTATGGCTTGGCCTCTTCACCCTTCTCATGTGATGTCAGGGCATAAGCAGGGTGTGTTTTGCCTCATGTGGTCGCCATTCTTGCTACTGTTAATAGTTCATCATTCTCTTATAAGTTAGGCCAGTGCTTGTGTTCAATCAGTGTTTCAGCATACCATTTTGAGACAGACCATATTCATTTAAAATTAATTCATTTCCTAATTTAACAGCTCCTTAAATCTTAAATATTTGTTTCTTGTCCTGAAATTCTGGGTAGTATTACCAGCAGTATAATACCTGTTAAATATGATCTGAATTTTCCTGTCCTGGTTGCAAAGTATTCTATTTTCTCCACTTGATCTTGGATTTATTCCTGGAAATACTGCTATTGTCCTTGCATTGCACAGATCATGCAGAGCTAGCAGAAAAATTGCTAGATCATCCTGCTCTGTCATCTCAGTTCTGGTCTGCTGGAACAAAACCAGAGTTGAAATATTTGAATCAGAATGAATGACTTTTTGATTTGTAGGGACCCTACAGTTCTGAATCCCAGTTAAAGAAAGACAAAAGGTGAAACATGGATCATATCAGTCCTAGGGAAGAGTCTCTTCTCTAGGAAGTTGAAGATTACTGTAGGCAACTACAGATTCCACAAAGCATTAATAAGGATTTTTAATTATTACATCTACTAACCCATGTAGAATATAAGGAATTTCTCAAGGTAAATGTAGCAGTCACGTGCAGAAGCAGTCATGGTTTGAATTTAAACCTATCTCGCCTTTCACAAAGCTTTATTGTTTAAAAAATCAATTCAGACTGAGCTGTAAACACATGCTAGAAAATGCAGAGGGATGCAATACTTGTTTAATGTAGGTTTGAACTTTTAATCATGCATTTTTGAGATCCCAGTGGGCTTGAATTTTCTTTATCATTAGCCCTATTTCTAAATGCTTAGTTGTCATGATTCTTTGTGGCTGGTGTTGTTAATAATGTTCTTACATTTAGGCAGACTGAGTCTCAGAAGCATTTTAGTCCTTTGCCACTGGGAGTCAGGATTTCCTAACATATGCAGCTTCCCATTACACACTGGCTGGGAGCCAGTGCTAATTCTTTACTGAGAAGGGAAACACCATCCTTTAACATCAAAGCCTTTGTATATGAGGAAAATTCTTTGTGCTAAAGACATCAACACTAAAAGTTACCATCATTTGCAATATTAAGCAAAATTAGTTTTGTTTGCTCGAGGGTCTGTTTGTATCTCATGGTAATTACAGTGTTCTACAAAACCTTCCAGAACAGAAACCTGTTTCTGGAAAGGATACACATTTTCTATGTGGATGAGGAAGCAAAAGAGACTAGTCAGAGACTAATCAAAAGAGACTAGAGACTTCCTTTGCCTTGACTTCTGGTTAGCCTGGTGGACAGCAACAAGAGAGGTTCCTCTTACCTGATAGGTAACACTTTCATAAGGTTGCTCTAAATATGTGCTTTTAGGTGAAATACAATGCAACCTTAGCAGTAAGAATCATTTTATAGTTAGGTTTTAGGACAGGGTTTTCTATCAAATGACATACAGTGAAAAATGTATGATACTGAGAAACCCAGTGAAGCAGAACTTTTTTTATTTTGTGTATTACATGGCTGGCAATTTGTCTTGGGTCTGAAGATTCAAAAGTCTAAACAATCCCTGTGCAAACACCCCTAAATGACAGAAGGGAGCAACTGGAAGGACCATGGAAACAGAGACCATATCTCTGACTGAAAATGCCTTGAGTCAAATTCCTTACAGACAATGGAAAATCTACCAATGTGTAGGCAATTATATTCCTCTACTTGAGAGCTTCAAGTGGAGTACTTAAAACAGACTTCTGAAACCCAAAGCACCCCAGTCTGTGCAGGTGCCTTTGGAGCCCTGATCAATTATGTTAGAGGATCTACACAATACAGAATTGTGAGAAAGACTGAAAATGCAAATGGTTGTGGCTGATGCCTTCAGCAGGGCAATATCCTCTTGTACTCTTGATGGAGAAAATTTTTGAGCAAAGGTCCTTATTTCTTAACATTCTCTGCATTGCCTCATGAGAACCCAACAGGACAAACTGTTTCCTCAAATAGTTTAAGAAGAAAGTGTTGCAGTGAGTCAGCCATAGAAATGAATAGACCTTCAGTGTGTGGTCTTTGGCAGTCATTTCTTCTTCTAAGCAAATCAGAAAGTTCTTTCAGATGATACAAACTTTATGTTTTGTGATGGCTAATTTAGCTCTTTTTCTCCTTTCTCTCGCAGGCATTTTTTCTAGTTTTATTTTATCTTTCTTTATAAACTCAGCTCAGCTGACAATTGTTAATAACTTCATTTCAAAAAATGGGGCCATGGCCCTTTCTCTGACTTTGCCTAAAAATCTGATGGCAATGGGGGGCCTCAGAAAATCAGGAGAAAACCATTCTATGTTTGTTCTTCACATGGTTACATGAAACTGACCATAAATGGATCATTTCATTAAATAGTGTTTGCAGCTATAGAATTCCAGCTATTGCAAATGTCTTTGTGGATGTACATTTTTGTGACTCTATTTTGAGTGTTTATGTCTATAATTCACCTTTTTTTCCTTTGATTTTTTAATATCTAGTTCTTTTAAATTTGCATCTAATTAAAAAATAAGAAAAACCAGTTAAAATTTATCCATCAAACCTGCATCAGATCTAATTTATATTCAGTGAAAATTATTAAAGTCCAAATCTTTTCTAGCTGTTGGGCCTTCAATTCAATAGGCTTAATGTACTTCCTCAGGAAAAAAAAATGATGATGGAAGGTGATGCTACGAAATGACTGGAAAGCCAGCAACATCACTAGGCTCCCAAATAGAACTAAAACTAAAACTAAAACTAAAACTAAAACTAAAACGAAAACGAAAACTAAAACTAAAACTAAAACTAAAACTGTGTTTCTGAGAAATTCCATGTGATTTTCACTCCCTGCAGACTTTCATTTATTTGAATTTGGCTCAAATTATTTTTATTTTTTCATATTATTGGGATTTGATTGTTGTCTAGTATATTTTTCTTGTAAAGGTCCAAAATTATGCATTGAAGGAAATATTCTGGAAGTCTCTAGAAGACTGATTATTTTTTGGCCTGATTTTAACTTCTGTTGTTTATCCATTAGGCAAGTGACAGGTGAATGAAAACAATTTCAAAATTCATTATTACTGTTTTTGCAAAACTGTAAAAAATGGAAAGATCCTTGTTGTCTTACTATTTCTTAACAATTTTATATTCCTCTCTCGTACCTGGCAAGAGGTGAATTAACTATAGTGATGATAAGGAAAACTTTTGAAAAAATGAATTTGGTAAGCATTTGTCTCAAAATTATCCTGCCATTTACCAGGCTGGCTTCACAGGGAACTGCAAGTCTTTTCCCTTGTTATCTAGCACAGCAGGCAGCTGGATATTGCTACAGCTGTACCTCCAAGTATTTCTCCAATACTAAGAACATCTTTATATTACTCTGTCCCTTGAGCTCTTCTAGACATGGATCACTCTAAAAATATATGCTTACTTTCAAAGAGTGTAATGGGCTAAAAAAAAAGTGAATGTGTGTTCTTTACTGCCTTTATCTGCCCTTAAAAATCTGTAAATACAGATAAATAGGTTACCTTTAAAGTAGTTCTTGGAACAGAGCAGAGGAGGACTAAAAACAAAATCAAAGTACCAGGTTGTTTTTTGGTTGGTTGGTGGGTTGGTTGGTTGGTTTTTAAGGCTTTCAAATTACATTTGGCTCTTGATGAAACAGTTAAATAGAGTGCCTTTAGAATTAATGTTCCCTTTCTTTTCTTCAAAGGAAATTAACCATTAATCCTGGTGAATGTCTTGTATAAATACTTTAAGATTGACAGTTAGAATTTATTTAGGAGTCAAATGAGTTTTTATCCTCCATTAACTTTACAGATTGCTAGAATGAAAATCATTCTTTCCACTGTCTCTTTTTCTATACATGGTTTCTATCCAGCAGACTCCTTGATTTACATGTTTAAAAGTATGTGTCAACCCAAGACTATATCTATACAAGTTGGAAAGACTTTCCCTTAAGAAGGCTTAGCAGCTGAGTCCAGCAGAGTATCATCAGGTCCAGGGAAGTTAACTAAGAGAGCAGCACATATGTCTGGGATGTGGCAGACTTGGGTGAAAAAGTCTGCAAATTTTCAACCTGCAGCTACCAAAAGCAAGGAATGGACCCAGAAATTTTCTATCCAACATGCCTCTCTCTTTTTTTTTTTTTTTTTTTTTTTTGGTGGGGCTGGATAGGCTTGTTTTCCTTTGGAAAGAAAGGGGTATCTGATGAGGACAGCTGTAAATTCTTCCACACTTTGACTGAGTACAAGGCCACCCACTGGACACCTTCCTGACTGAGGCCATACTGCTCTGCACTGTGTAGCAGCATGCAATGAAGGACTTGCCTGTCCTGCAAACACTCCTACACCTTCTGCACACATCTGTGGCTTTTCAATTGCTCAGTGACAGCTCCAAGCTTCACTGACAGCAGCAGTGTTATCCATGTAATCCAAGGTGTGGGGAGGTGTGTTGTGTGACCCCACAAGTCAGGCTACACTGAAGGGGTTTAGACGGTGTTCCACCTGGTTGTGGTCATAGCCTTTCCCACAACTTGCTGAAATAGGTGACAAATCCCAGTGAAGTGTTTCAATTGTTTTCAGCAGGTTTTAGCTGAAGTCCAGAGTGAGTCATTTGTTATTTATTGTGTCAGGTTGGAAATTAGTATTTTAATAACAGATAGATGGCATGAACAAAAGGAAAGAGAGAGAAATACAGTGACTTGCTCCATTTTCATACTGATTGTATTATTTGCCTAATTATACTGCCACATCTGTTTGGATACTGAGTGCTATAAATTAAAGGAGTCTAAACTATGGGTAATTACAGACATCTCAATGTTTGGCTTTCCAAGTTCTGTGGGCCACAGGTGTGCCTGAGAACAGCACTCAGAGCTGGAGCCGGTAGAAATCCACAGTAAGAAAAACATTTCTCCAAAGACACACTGGAATTGAAAACCAGATTTCCATTCATTCAGACTGGAAAGCTCTTTTAAAATGAGATAAAAAATACCAAAGTAGGTGTTACAGAGGGCAGACAGAATCACTAGCACAGGTATACTGCTCATTTCACACATTCAGTACTGTGGCTGTGAAACATTGATCAAGCCACAATACCAGGGGATTAGAAATTATGGAATGCTGCTAACTGCAGTCCTGTTTCATTTCTTCTGCTTACATTTCCTGAGCAAGCTGTACAGGCAGAGCTAGGTCCTGTTTGCAAAATACTCCCTTAGGATCCATTTATAGGTTAAGGATCTCTACCATACTGTTGTTAAAGCAAAATAAACAAACAAACAAAATAATCCACTTCTGCAAGATACAAAATTCCTCAGCACAAGTGTGGTTGGGGTTTGTAGGGTTTGATTTTATTTTTTTATTTGTTCTGATTGGTTGTTTTGGGGTTGGTTTGTGGGGTTTTTTTTGTTGTTGTTGGTTTTTTGTTTGTTTGTTTTTGTGGTTTTTTAGTAGAAACAAGTATTTTTTAAATGAAAAATAAGGTATGTCATCCTCAGATACAATAAAAATACAGCTGTAGCACTTTAGATTAGCAGAGAACACAGTTAATGAATTTGGATTTGGTGATGCAGGAAACTATACAGAAATTATGTTGGCTACTATAGAATTAAGTAGTGAATAAAAAAGGAAACCACACAGCCCAGGACAAAATATACCTTACTCCCACAAAGACCTGTGAAGATGCTAATTCATTCAGCTGTCCTCCCTGCTATAGGCTGAGTTTCCAATCTGCTCTGCTGTGTCCTCTGCCTCTTGTCCTGCCTGCTCCAAGAAATAAGCAGGTAACATAGTGAGTTCACTGACTAGCATAAAACAACTCATCTCACAAGCCTTTCTGCATCTGAAAAGGACATTTAAAACTGTCTGTTGTGTCTTGCTGGTCCCTTAAGGTAAACTGCTCAATTTACTCTTCTATCTGTAAATTTTCACTGAATATGAACACCACCTAAGATTTAGTGCTTCTCTCTTTATATTCAAATGTTGCTGTAGTACTTCAAGAAGGCCTTTCAAGATCAGATCTTGGGCATTCATTTTGCTACATTGATTTTCAGAACATTTTTGTAACTCTCTAAACTATCTAAATAGGAGGGGAGTGATTCTGAAATGCTGTATATCCTAAACAACTTCATACATCATTCTGATTTATTATCTTTTCGGTACATTTCAAAAAGCAGCACATTATCCTATCTGACAGCAGATTCCCAAGTGGTCTAAGGCCAGAAGAAGTTAGATGTAAAAGTCTTAGAAATACATCTTATAACACATTGAACTAACCAAGTTGGTTCCACTTTTAATTTTCCTTAAATTAGTTTTTACTCCATGATTCAAAATAAAATAGAATAAAAAATTTTAAAGAAGAAAAAAGACAATAAACTGTCCTGGTGTTTAAAAAGCTAGGCTTTTTACTCTAGGACACTTAGGACTTTTAAACAGAGATGTAATGGCTTGAATCTTCAAAGACTATCATAAATCTGTCATAGGGAGGGAGAGACATAAGAAACATTGGAAATTGTTTTTTGGCTCTCTCCTTTGCAGAATTGCTATAATTTTCTGAAGAGCTATCCCTGGGTAATTCATTTGTCAGCATGAGAGTTTTATTGTTTTTTAATATATTGGTTTATTCTTATAAGAGATGGAGGAAAGCCATCTGGAGTACTTGTTTGTTGGCTGACAGTGCTGGTTGCAGCCATACAGTTCTGTACAGACAAGGAGTTGCAGAGAAAGTCCAAATGGCTTGTTTGATCCTCATTTTTATGTTGGTCTAGTTTTGGCTGCCCTTCTGATTGCCCACGAGAAGGATGGCCACAACATCACTATACTTTTTAAGACCATCTCGTTTTGTTTATAGAGCTCTTCAAACAGAAGGTCACTGTAGGTGTCTCCTCCAGCTGTTGCTCTGTTCTTTCCCACTCACTGCATTTACACTCACAATGTCCTTTTATTTATAGTTTCACCATTCGCCCAGCCTGGGACCATGACAGGGTCATTTGCCACTAGAGTTGCTTTTATAGGTTGAAGGTTCAAAGGATGTTTTGTCCCTTTCATACACAGAACTGCAGCTTAGAAAAAGGGCAAGAAAAAGGGCAGTCCTTCCTCCTTTCTTCTGTCATGGAGACAGATGCCCTCTAAAACTGCACACAAGATGCAGCACAGATTTCAGATCTGCAGTCAGTGTGCTTGCTGTTTCCTCAGACTTCATTACTTGAGTAGTGTAAGGTGGTCAAAACTTGCAGTTTGCGAAGAGCTTTGAGGGGTAAAGAGGAACAACTGGAAGGGAGCAAGTTTATCTCATCCTCCACTCAAACAGAGCTTCTGATTTGTTGCAAATTGATCTGCTGGACCCAAAGCCATCTTTCTGCATCCTTGCTCTCCCACAGGAGCTGGCACAAGGCCTCTTCTTAATGAATGAGCACCAATGGATGAAACAAAATTTCTGGATGATAATTCAGCAAGTCTGATTCTGATTCAAGGCAATGCTCTCTGTCTTCTGTATGATAAAATCAGAATACAGGCCAGCAAGAGACATTTTGCCAAAAGCCATGCACAATTTTTGCCAGTGAATTCCTGCCACTTGCAGAGAGCCTGCAATCTGATACTCTATTGACATTTCCAAGCTTTGCCTGTCACTTTTTCAGCAAACTTCATCTGGATTTCAGGTTGCCCATAAAACTTGAAAGCGGGTTTAGTAGCAAAAATTTACAATGTGAACATCTAGTTAGAGGAGACCTTATTGAGCCCTTTTAAAGGAGAGTCTTGCCTTTAAAAATGAGTAAATAAGAGTTTCTACTTCTTTTCCTCATGAAACTACATTGAAAATATGAACAGCAATAAATCAACTCCTGAAAAAAATGGCAATGTACAGCTGGGCTCCCCTCCTGCATAGAAATGACATTGGAAAAATCACACACATTTCCCTTTCCCTTCTAATTGACCTTGTAAAATTTAAGCTATAGCCTCCCTAAAATGCCTTTCAGTGCTGCAAAATCCCAAGAAAGGTTCAGACTATGAGAGGGCAAATGTTACAATAGGCAAGGAATTTTTAAAAAATAAAACAAAAAGTGCTGCATCCCATCCATCCTTGTTTACCCCTCGTCTTGTGTAAAAAGATAAGTTCCACTTGTTAAAATGCTTATCTTATCCATCAAAATTATTTCAAACTGTTCTGCAAAGCTGTGCTTGTGTAGGGGATCTGGCATCCACATTCATTTGTTTAATGTATGCTGACAGTGTTCAACTATAAATATTATGATAACAAGGGGAAGAAGTCCTGTGTGTCTTATTTCTGAATTTGTTTTGTTTTACCTTACTGAAGGACTAAAGGTCTTCTTACAAGACCTAATGTTGTTTAGGTCATGTAAGAAAAATTCCATTGATTGAATCCTTCCTATATTTGCCAGGCCATTTTCCTGAAAACAGCTGGGTAGAGTGAGTGTTATGCTTGTGTTGTATTATTCCTAAGAGTAAGAATGTTGAAACAATTGCTTGATGTATGATGGACATTACTTAGCAAGACATCTGGTCGTTTCTCTCATTACTTATTACAGCTCCCTCTCTTTCTCTGTAGATGCGAACTGAGGTTTTCTTGGCTGGTTGGTCTTTGGTTTTGGGTATTTCTTTAGTTACAGAGCTGGCCACAGATCAAAAGGTGAAGGTTATACAAGCTGATTTCACTAAAAATTCAGTGTACAAGAACATTGAAAAAGATCTGAAGGACTTGGATACTGCTGTTCTGGGTCAGTCATTAAGGTCTGTTAATTGACAAGTATTTTATGGCTGTGGTGTATTTAACAGACATTGTATAAATGATGTGTTGTAACAACTTGTTAGCCAATGCTTAAAATCAAATATGCATAATGAGTCTGTGGCTCATTATCTGGTATGACTCATGAAGCAACAGTGAAAAGATGGGGTTTTGGAAGGTTTTTTGTATTTTTAAGAAAGTCGTCCTTTTAATAGTGAAAGAAATGAAACAACAGCAACAATACACAAACAGCTTTAGCAACGGTCTGTTTTTCTGTTCCCTCAGTATCAGTGACCTCAGTGAAAACAAAACTTAATGCTAAACAGTGTTTCTCCTCACACCTAGCTCACAATCTTGTGAGTCTTGAAGAGAAGCACTTTGTTTAATTAGATGAACTATGCACTTTGTCTAGATTTGATTCTTAACATTGTATTTTCCCTGACTAGTTAGCAATGTTGGAATGCTTCACAATTCTCTTCCATGCCATTTCCTTAATGGACCAAACATAGAAGAATTAGGATTATTCTGTAGATTTCATCTTCAAATGTAACAATGAGGGATGGTAATTCATTGAACAAGGCACAGATTTTGCCCCTGCTACAAGCATTAACTGTTCAATTGGGTTGGAAACGAGCTGGGCCTGAAAAAGCATATTTTGATTTGGGTTTAATGCTTGGAAGAGCTTGAAAGAGAAGAAGAATGGTAGTTTTCAGCTAAACTGCAGGAAGCATCCAGTGATAGAGGGGACAGTGCAGCTGGCCTGGTTGGAACAGGGATTAGCAGACCCCCTGACTCCCTGCTGGCTTGTAGTGTAATGGGGCCCAGTCCATTCACAGCCACAGCTGAAAATATTGGGTTCTTGTTAGCGTTATTAAAACTTAGCTCCTTTGAGACATATTGCTTAAATATGTGAAAATAAACAAACAAACAAATTTTAAAAAAGAAAAGGAAAAAGAGAGAAAAAAGAAACCTCATTTAAGTGCTGTTTACTTTGTGGAGGAATTAATTTACAGTGGTTGAACTGAGAGACAGGATTAGGATGTGATCAAGTACTCCATTGCCTTATTGTTATTTGCCTCTATATCACTTGCAATGAAAAGGCCAGAATTTCTAAGTGTGTATCTTCCTAGCACCTCTCTCAGGATTCATTCAGTTTTTGTGTCAGCTTCTCTTCCAAATCAGAGAATCTCAGGCAGGCTGCTTCTGTCAAACTCTCGTTTAAGGACGAGTTTACTGTTTTGTTGCTTCCTGCTGGACCTTGTCAACTGCAATATTATTTCTGTTCCAGGTAGATATGTGACACCTTCCTATCTGTTCTGGGGCTTTAATGTATTTCATTAAAAAGTACATTACTAGTTTTCTATGTATTAGAATTTAATTCATCAGCAGACAGTGATTTTCAGCAGGACTGTCAGTGTTAATTTAAGGAACCCACCTGTTTCTATTACCTGTGAAATATTTTGATCAGAACTGACTGGAAAATTCTTAACACAATTTCTCAGTTGAAACACATCCTTGCACTACAGCTGAAACACCTAAAACATTTCACAAATCATTTTTGTTTTGGTATGCAGGGAGATTTCCATCAGAATTAAAATTTTCAAGACAGGTAAATCTGTAGTTTGAATTTTAGCACTGTACATTTTATTTGGTCACAATTTTCTTTTGCCAACGTGCTTTTGTATCAATGCAGGACAGAAACTCCAGAATCTGTCTCCTGATTCTGTATTGTTACCCCTTAGTGCTAATTTTGGTCAGCTCCTTCCCCTCCAAGAACATTTAGTATTTCATGCTTTTCAACTCTGATTAAGATTTGTATTGCTCTGCTGTTTGCAAGCAGCATGTTAACATGAACATGAGCAGAAGATCTCAACCTTGACTTTCGTGCCTTCCATGTCTTTCTAAAAATGACATGAAAATTAACAGCAGATGTTTGTCCCTCTCTGGCTTTCAAAATTTACATCCCAAATTTGTACTGCTGCTTAATGACTTAAGATAATAAATCATGCAATACCAGTCAGTGGAAGCAAATTCTGTAAGTAGCTTCGTGACATTTCTGCTCCCAGGATATAGGATATATTCTAGTTCTGTATCAAAAGAACAGAAATATCTGCAATATCTGAATGCTATATATATATGCCATTCTGCACCCTCTTGATCTGAATACAGGAGGGTTTTCTTTTTGTCATTTCCCACATTACCTATATTTCAGAATCGACCTCTTTTGTTTTTGCAGTGCCTGGGCATTGCTTACCCCACTGCTGCAACCACATCCTTTTCAGTGTTCCACGAATATTCACTTTTTTCCAAATTACAGAGAAGAAAGTATTCTCCTAACCAGCATTCCTCATGGTTAGGTTCAAATAATCGTTAAATCTTTTTGGATTTCCTTTCCCCTCCCTGTCTGGATTCCTGCTAGATCCTGTTCACCATTTCTCGCAGTGTAATGCCTGAGGTCCAGGTATCCTGGCTCCCACAGATGTCAGTGGGATTTTCAGCACGGCAAAAGAAGGACCTTTTCCCATGTTTATTTGGAAATTTCTCTTCATCCAAGCTGATGTGACTGACTGTGTTTTCAGCCTTGTCAACCCCACACTGCTCCTACTATCCTCTTGAGCACAATGACACTACTGAAAAAAATCAGGAAATAACAAGTATTCAATTAAACTGTGCCATTAATTTGCACTACTTTTCACTACTGCCCTTTACAAGTTAGGTCACACTGCTGTCCTGACACAATTCATAGTGTTAGTATGACTTCTTCCTGGTACTTGGGCTCCCTATCAATAATACCCTTCAAAAGTGCGAAGAAAAGCTGATTTCTTATCTGAAAAATGCATCTAATTTCACTTTAAAAATCAGATTCATGGTTAAGTCTATTGCTAAAATAAGAAAGAAAAAATAATAAAATAATTAGCACTAAAAAAGATCCTAAAGCTCTTTCTGATTGCAGGAAAAAAATGATATATTTTCCTGATTTTCTGCAATTTCTGATCCAGCTTGAGGCAGAAGTGAAAATGCAAAAAGAACATGGAGTTGACTTTCTCCTTGCAGTTATGATTCCATGTTGAAGAATTATGAAATTCAGAAACTGTTGAAAAGCTTTGAATAAACCTAAGACTCTCTCACTGCTTAGAAGGCTAACCTTTGGAGTTTTTCGACAACTCAGATGATTTTCAGGCCACAAGCATTTCTAAAATATTTTCCAAAATGTTGAACGTGCCATATTTTAGCTATTTGAGCTGTATATATATAGCTTGATCAAGTGAAAAAACTTGTTATTAAAATAAAATCAGTTCAAAAATGCTGCCAGGAAGATGAGGAATTGAAAGAATTCTTAAAATACTTGTCATATAGTTGACAAAAATTGTTTTGAAACAGATGCAAGCAAGGTATTTTTTATATAACTTTTAACTGTGTTAAGCTTCTACCTTCAATGCCTTTAGTGGTAGCTAGGATTTTTCATTAACTTCTGAACTTCCCAGTCTACCAATCAGTAAGATATCTTCTACTTCTGTTATTGCTCTATGATTATATGTATAGGAACTCCCACAAATTGTCAGTCAATTGTAGAACAGAGCAGAAAACAAAATATGTATCTGTCCCCAGTTAAAAATGTGTGGCAGAAATAGAATAGGATGTGATGGGCCTAACAAAGCAAGAAACAGCATTTGAATATATTATCTATTCTTCTAAGAGTGGTAGCTTGGCTTGGAATAATGCTTTTCAAGCTCTGGAAATACCCATATTACTAATCAGATACATTAATTCAGCTGTGTGATTAAGGATCTCTGTCCTCTTTTTGTACTATGTGTATTTTAGACATGGGGTCCTTAAACTAGAAGTTTGGCTTTTTGGGTGGATTTTCTAGAAAATATTGTTAAATACTGCATTTTAGAGACCAGTACATGCTTTTAGTTTTGGCAAAAAAAAAATATTTCTTATTGTTTAATTTTCATTTTGTTTTGTTTTGTTTTTCCTTGTTGTTGCTAAATGCATTGGGTTTCAGTGATGTGTTACGGGAGTTGTGAATGGGGCAGCTAAACCAACAGATCCATGGAGCAGGAAAAGGAATGTGCTGGCTAAAGAGCAAAGGGGATCTGCCAATTACTTAGGAGAATAAAATCTTTCCTCTGATGACAGACGTTTTTGTCTGTACAATTGCATGTACAATGTCCCCATAGTTCTGATTGCAGCAGGCATTCAATTTTCACTTATGACATTACTCCTCTCTGGTTTAGACCAAACTAAACTGTAAAAAGGGGGTCTTTTGAAGGCACATTTGACAGTATAATAGGAGACCTATGCCTTCTGGGGAAAAAATTGTTTTCTGCTCATGCAGAAATATACTACTATACTTTTACTATAATCCTGTAAAGTGTGAACAGAATGTAACTGTTTAAATTAAATTTCAGTCAGAAAGTTCTAATTCTGAATCTGTCCTCTGGTTTGAGTACTTTCCCTTGTCCATTATATACAACGTACTCAGCTACTAAGGTAAATCTTTCACATTGCTTTATGAAGAAATCCCCATTAAGTGTTTATCAAAGCATTGTGTCAGTATAACAAATGATCAGACTATAAATAGCATTGCTTCATTGAAATAATGAAGTAATGTAAATTAGCAATACGTGACAACCAAAAATGAGTGAAACACTGTAAATGAAGTGAGCTCAGGGTATGTCTGATCCTTGGAATGATTTTGCCTTTGATTAAATAGTATTATACCAGTGCTCACAATTTGTCTTCATTCTGGAAAGTGATGAATTTTACTAGGCTCATTTATCTAGTTTATTTAAAATTGTAGATGCACAAAAGTGCTAGGTTTTGCTTATGGAACCAAGAATAAAATTTCTGGTAGGTGACTGGTGAGTTGCCTAACTTCATAGATTTCACCTAAATTTTTGCTCTGAATTTGAATCCATGAACTCACAAAAGTGAGGAATGAATGATTTTGAGTAAAACTCCAAAAGTAACTTGATCAGCTCAGGTTTCCTTCAAATGAAAAATTCTAATGATATTTTCTTAAATGTAGCTAAAGTTTAGATTGGCCAAAAAAAAGAAAAAGAGCTATTCTTGGTAAGAATATATAGTTTGCTATTTCCTTTTTCTCCTTTTATATAAATCCCTCATTGCTCAAAATTTGAACTTCATTCAAACCAGACAATTTTAGATCCTTAAAAATGTTTACTTAACATTATTTCCAAATTATATAGTACATTAGTAGGGTTATGTTGTCTACTTGTCTTTTTTCATTCTCAGGTATCTTTTAACTTTGGGGTTTATTTTGTTTTGGCTTGGTGTTTGTTTTCGTTAGTTCATTTGTAACATTTTTTTTAGTCCTCTGGAGGGAAATTATTTTTCTTGTCAGCATTATATCATGCAATATCATGACAGTGTTGGTCTTACAGTTTTAAGACTATCAAATGATGGGTTGGGAAAACAGTCTTTTTTTTCCTTTACTTTTATATTTTTCATTACAGAGGAGCAATTCAACCTCATCAGGTGTCTTGACTATTTCTCAAAGATCTAACTCCTAAAATCTCTCTTGAAAGAAACTCAACATTTGCGCAAAATTAGTATGGGCATACTCTTCACGGTGTGGAGAAAAACTTAAATAAATCTAAAAGATTGAAGCTAAAACTTTCCTTCAAATTCAGAAATACTTGACTTTGAAACATTTATCTGTAGGTTATGCTACTAGCTAAATACTGAAGGCACGAGTTTCATTTTGCTCCACTTTTCATTGCAAACGAAACAACAAGTGCAAGTGTCCGACTGGCACAGTAGGGATCATCCAGAGCCACATGAAACAATAGCTAGAATAAGTGGGACTCTACTTTTTCATAAAAATGCCAAAGCTTCCAGTGCAGTCTGCAGTAACACTTGTTGCATGTCCAGCTCAGGACAGTGCCAGGTTCCACCTTTCCTGGTGCAGAGAGTCAGCCTCGCCCAGGTGCACCAGCAGAAACTGTATCTTGAAAACTTCATTTCTGTGCTTCCCACCAATGCCCTGGGCCTTAGATTGTACAATGCTAGGCCATTTGTGCTAAGGACATGTTCACACTTATTTCTGAGGACATAAGCACTGAGCTTTTGAAAGCACTGAGCTTCCTATGCTCATGGTTTGTTTTGTTTGTTTTGGTCATATTCTGTCTAGGCTTTTATAAGCACTTCTACAACCACTGCAAGCAGAGTATAAGGCAAAGGGAAATATCATACAGGTGTTGCTGCATCTTGCCATGTTAGCCTTCATTTTAGCAAATTCTTCAAGAATGTTTGAGATGTCTAAATCTGTGTTGTGCAGCTGTCCTCAGTGAACTGCTGGGTGACTGCAATATTTTTGTCTCCTTCTATATGCAGCTTGTTTCCTTATTTCACCATAGTACTATCACTGATTCCATATAGTGCCCTAATCCATTGCAAACATCAGTTAGAATATGTCAGATGCTATGGGATTCTGCAGAGCACCTTATGTAAGTATTAGATGGCATTACAATGTTGTTATAATTTTTTTTTTTTAGATACTGATTCCTTATGGTGTTTCTGCTCCAATGTACAAAAACCCTTGTGTTATTACAAAGACAGCAAAAGAGTTTCTTAGTGAATCACTGGAGTATGTCACCTTTGGAGATGAGATTTTTGGACGTTTCACCCATGAAATTTTGATTGAATTTGGGTGTGTGTAAATGTCTTCCAAAGACTCCAGCCAAGTCTGTCTGGGCTCAGCCTGCTCTTTTCACTTTTTTGTAGACCTTGGATATTAAATGAGAAAGAGACAATGGGTTGTTAGAGCTAATATGGCACCAGTAAAATATGAAGAGAGGAATACACAAGTAAAACATAGTGGTTACAGCGCAGTATGGTTTTCTCTGCTCATGAGCCTTGAGTGAGCTCAGTTTCATGTCTGGTTAGTCTTTGTCCTCCCTCCAGCTGCCTGTTTTCATGACCTTGCTAAGGAATTTTCCAAGACCTCTACTCCTTCAGAGAAATTGGCCAGCAATTTCAAAAGTTTTTAGTGGGGGAGAGGAAGGACATAAAACCTGAATGTACTATCACAAAGACATCATTTTCTTGGATACCATGCTAGCAAAATAGAGTAAATATTTATACACAGCAGCTGTTAATGATGAGCATTAAATGAAATGGTAAGAAAGGCGACAGATTTGCTGAAAGCACAAGAATTAACATTTTCCTCCAAGACAAATGTGGTTACTGAAAGCCTGAAGTAAAAGCTTTTGTGGGCCTCATATAGGCTCTAAGAAATATTACTATTTTAACATAATCTTAAAGGTCACCAATAATTATACTTATTAATAAAATGATAATTTGCTTTATTTCCATCTTGTTCACAGTGTATTTTCATGCTTTCAGTGAGTGTTTTGTGTCTTTGGTTTCTTTGGAAATTTGCAAGAAGATAAAAAGAAATCTCAGAATGTAAAGTACACGCTGGGCTTTGGGAAGCCTGCAATGATAAAAAAATTCTTTCTTTCCAGAGCCTGTGAGCAGCTCTGCAATATCCAATATGGCATGTAAGAGGCAGCAACAGGGAAAAGGATGCACAGTAATTCTACACTGCTGAATTAATCCGGAGGACAAGTGTTTTGACTGGATGGCTGTCAAATCAAACTGGGTGCTATTAAAAGTTATTTCAAGGACAATGCAATCACCAGGCATAGTCATTGTGGGATTATAAAAGGAAAGTCATGCCTAATTAATTTGACACCCATCTAGAATAGGGTTACTTGCCTAGTGGATGAAAGGGATGTGGTGGGTAAGGCTTTTCTTGAATTTAGTAATATTTAGTATGATTTTGGTAAGATTTTTGATGCTGTCTCTCAAAGTGTTCTTCTGGACAAGCTGTTGTGATGATCAGGTTCACAGTGGATGGAAAACCAGCTGAATGTCAGAACTTTAGGGGTTTTAGTTTGTGGGGCTACATCTGCCTGGTGAGCAATCACCAGTGGTGTTTCTCAGGAATTCACTGTAGGACCAGTTCTGGTCAACAACTTTATCAATGATCTGGATGCAGGACTTGAATGCACCATTAGCAAGTGTGCCAATGATACCAAACTGAGAGGCGCTGCTGACTCTCTCAAGGCACAAGAGCCTTGCAGAGGGATCTGAAATAGATTGGAGCACTGGGTAATTATCAGTGGCATGAAATTAAACAAGAACAAATCCAGATTCTGCCCCTGGCATGCAGTAAGGCTGGGCACGAGTATAAGCTGGGAGAGGAGCGTGTGTGGAGCAGCCTGCCAAAGGGCTCTGGGGGTGCTGGCGGGCAGCAGCTCAGGGTGAGCCAGCAGTGTGTGCCCGGGCAGCCAGGAGGGCAAACCCCATCCCGGGGGGCAGCAGACACAGCATCACCAGCTGGGATTGGGATCATCCTGCTGGATTCGGCCCTGGTGCCCTCACCCTGAGTCCTGTGTGCAGGGCTGGGTCCCACGCTCTGAGAAGGGTGGGAAGGAGGTCCTGGAATGGTCCGGAGGAGGACAACAGAGCTGGTGGAAGGGCTGGAAGGCACATCCTGTGAGGAGGGGCTGAGGGCTCTGGGTCTGTCTGGGCTGGAGAGAAGGAGGCTCAGGGGTGACCTCATTGCTCTGTACAGCTCCCTGGGCAGGGGACCTGGAGAGGGAAGATCTGATCTCTCTGCTCTGGACATCAGGAAGCACCTTCCTACTGAGAGAATGGTGAAACACTGTCACAGTCTTCCCAGAAATGTGGTGGATGTCCTGTGCCTGTCAGTGCACCTGGACAGTGCCATTCACATTGGGTTTTAACTGCTAGTCAGCCCTGAAGTGGTCAGGCAGTTAAACTACACAATCTCTTTAAGTCCTTTCCAACTATTTTATCCTGGGCTAGGTTTGTTTCTGCTATTTAATCAGATATATTTCTGCTAATTAAAAATCAGTAATTTTCAAATGTCTTTTAATTTTGCGTGTTTCTTTAACTTCTGCATTTCAAAAAGTATTTGTAAAACACTTGTATGAAGATAGCAAGGACTCTATTAATAAATGAGATTTTTTGCCAAATGTGAGGGACAGTCTCTGTAATCTTTGCCATGTAGATGGAAGAGAAATCACAAAATGTATCCTGCTGGCTCCAGAAATTCCTGTCTGCTGCATTGAAGTTAATGACATCTATGGACAACACACATCATAGACATATATTATAACACCATTTAGGTCCCAGCTTTCTGCAAGTCTCCTAAATTTGTTGTTATAAATCTCAAAAACAACCAAAAACAACTCAGGACTGAGCTGAGCTATCTGAACTGAAATAATGAAAATTGCAATACACAAAATGATATGTATCTTTCCTGCAGTATAATCAGATTTAGCTCAGATCTGCAAACAGTTATAAAAAAAATCACTTTACTCGCATGGGCTCCTATCAGTTGGTTCTGCCACTGAATTCAGTGAAAGTGCTGATACACTTTTGTTCTTTCATGTCAGAATTGGAAATAAAACTATTACTTGAATATTATCACCCGATGTAGAAAACATCTGGAAATGAGACATCTATGCTGGACATTTCAGCATTGCTGGTTTGAAAAGCAAGGAATAGAAACTGTTTGTTCATCACTCCATAAAGACTATGTTCTCAAGTGATTAAACTGTATTCTTTGAAGTGTTATATTTGTGCAGCTGTGCAGCAAATAAGTACAGAATACAAGATATGTTACATATTGCATGTATGCCAAAAGCTGTTGAAGTTCCTGGGGGAAGTGTGCATTGAATAGGAGGCCCAAGAGTGGAATGTAGGGTTTGTGTTTGTAGGAGTGCCTATTTCTGTACGTATGCATGTGCTCAGTCAATGCATCCTCAGATACTGCATGGATGCAGTGCGTGTGTCTTTCCCAGTTCATCCACTCTGAGCACATCCAGAGGCCCTGTCCCCAGGCAGCTCTCTGCAGGTTTGATTTGCATGCATTGGTGGGTCCTGCAGAGTGAAACAACTCCTAAGGAGCGGGGACTGCTCCTGCTCTGGCTGATGCAGTGGCGGTCACTCCGGGATTCAGTCACAGCACCAACAAACCTGAGCACTCCCACGCCTGCAGCTCGTCATGATCCCAACAATATAGCTACAAATCCCTTTGTTTTCCCTCTGACTTTCACACCATTTACCTAACTCCTGTTAAAGAATACACTTTCACCCTTCCTACAATGACAATGTTTTGTCACTGGATACAAATGTTTATCCAACATACAGGGACCCTGGTAACACAGAGGTACCATTGGTGCAGGCATGGGTTAGTGAGTGAGAGACTTGGTTTCCAAGGTTTGCAAGTCATGTCATCCGTGACAAATGACAATTCCATGTTTCTTGTCTCACACCAGTTTATGATTGTGCATTCTGTGTGAGTCTTGAGTAGAGAGTTGAGCAACCAGCTCAGTGTTGATTTGTTTCTTTTGATGAACATAAGGATACTGTTACTTGCTGCTCCTGCATGGTCAGTCTGTGGAGCATCCTTGTTTGACCTTCCAGCTCAGGCAGATGGTGTGATTCATGGGGTGTCCTGAGCAGGGCCAGGAGTTGGACTGGATAATCCTCATCAGTCCTGCACAACTCAGCATACTCTAGGATTCTATAATTTTGTTTTTCTATTTGCACAATATTAGGCCGGATCCTGCTGACTTCCAATCTTCTAGTGATAAAGTAGAAATACTCTCTCTAATGATAAATTACCTAAGTCTGCAAAAAGAGGTTTCTCTTCCTTTGACATCTCAGAGAGGTCAGTGAGTGGATCAGCCACCAATGGAGGAGAAGTAATCATACCTTCCTCTTCATTTTGTACACCATGTGTTCTCTCTGAGCGCTGAACAAACAACACAGAAGTTATAGTATCTACTCTTGCTCTAAGTTACATTATCTGCCCTCACTCTGGGCGTGGTTCATGGGGAAATGGAAACAGAAGGGAAAACTGGCAATTCTTCCCAGTACTCCCTGCCTAGGGAGAAGGTGAAGGAGCAGACCAGCAAGTCAGGCCTCCTGCTTCTCCCACAGAACCCATAGCATGGAATTTCCTCTTTTGTGATAAAACATTGGTAATAACCACAAAATTGCACGCTGGAGCAGTGGCTTGTCATGGAAGGATTCAGTATTGTCCCTGTTTATGGAGTGGAAAGAAGTGTGGAGAGCTGAAGCCCCTGCCCAAGCCACCTGGAGGAAGGAGGATCCCCTCAAGACAAACACTGTTCACCTCTCCTTGGCTTCATCCTCCAAGGAGCCTTTGACTTCTAAGGAGATGCACAGCTCAGAAAGTCAAATGCCTCAAAATTAAGAGAAAATATAATGGCTATCCACTTAGAGCCAAACTCTGCTGGGCTTATGTGCTTATGTCCTGACCCCACCAAACCTGGGAGTTTGGTGAAAAGTTGCCATCCATGCCTTAATGGGGGGTTATGCCTCCTTTTCCCAGGGTTCCTGGATCAGGGAATTACAGAATTGTTTACATTGGGTAAAAACTTCAAAGATCATCTACTCCAAAACCTCTGCCACAGGCAGAGGCACCTTCAGGAAACTCAGCCTGTTTTTCTGAGCAGTGACAGAATAGAAAAGAGATAGAAGAGCACTGGACCTGTGGAAAAAAGAAATTGGGTCAGAAATACATTGTAGCGCACAAAGCAAAATATTTAAAGGCCCTCTCCTTCCTTCACACATTCACACTGATTCCATTCTCCAGCTTTTCCCTGTGAGCATGCATGTGCATAGTCACATATGTG